GCAGTTTTCGGTTGCTTCTAATTTTTTTAATGGGACTTCACGGTTTAAGAGTAGCTCGACAGATGGCCAGATGAAGGGTCAACCATGCATAAATGTTGGATCTTTTTCAATGTGGCCCACTCGAAGTGGACCAAAGTGTCCGTAAGGCCCTCTCCTCAAAAAGTTTGGGAACCGCTGGTCTAAAGTCTCTAGTCCAAGGTCTTTGGTGGTGGTGCGAAGGGAATGCGAGGAACATAGTGACGACCCTTTCAATCGCTTTGAGTCGTGTTTATCAATACTACTACTGCGCTGTCTTGCAACCCTGTCCACAATTCGCATACCTCCTTCGCACGTTATCTGGTACGAAGAAAAAGGCGGCAAGGAATTTTTTTTTTGCCTTTCTACCAGTGGCGTATTTTACGGGAGGGCAGAGGGGGCAGCCCCCCCCCCTGGCGCCCCTGGAACAGAGCTTGGCGCCCCCTTGGGGGTAATAATTTCCCCACCTGGTATCGCTCGGGTGGGGTTTGGCGCCCCCGCGCTGTTGCCTTGCCTCCCTCCGACCCCTCAGCCAAAATACGCCACTGCATTCTACCATTTGGTCATGACCTGGGATGGGATATGATAGGCAGATACCTCCCCCCCTCCCCCAAATTTTCATTCTTTACTCCGTTATGCTAAGATCTCATAAATGTAGGACCAATGAGAAATCTTTTGGAAATACTTTTTTACTCCCTCTGCCCTGCAAACGCACAATTGAAAAAGTGCACACAAGCACAAACTTCGGGTGTTTTCACATCTACTATCCAAATCATTCATTCGTAATATTTTTGCATCCTTTCGTCTGCTGATTTGACAGGGTTCTTCCCGTTAAGGGATCGGTAGGTAAACAAATAAAAAGTATGAACAGAGAGAGTGCTGACAAGGAAAAACACTTCGCTTTCTCTTAGATTTTGGTGTCATCTTCCTTGTTTCACACCCCCTCATAGTAAGATAGCTTTCTTCATTCTTTGCCTGTGGAACTGTTATGAAGCCATTGCAGCTAAAGAGTATAGCAAGGGCCAGCATTTGAAATTCTCACTACTTATTTCTTATCTAATATGGTTATGTGAACTTACATTACTCTTAGGTGAGAATGTAAGAAACTACAGTTTGAGCCATATTTTATTATTAAATTAGAGAGTCTTAGTCTGAGCAGTTTTGTTTCCATTTTCCATTTCTGCCTCTTTTTCTGGTTTCACTGCTGGAATGGAAATTAAAAAAAGGGTTTTCCTGGTAGCATTCTAAACACTTTCCATTGTTGAGAGAATATTAATGCAACCCCAATTCCCAATTCATAATCTCAAGATTATAACCTGAAGTGGAGATGTGTTGCTTATTGTGTGGACTGAATGCTTCTGTAAGAATCGGGCAAGTCCTTGGTCTAGACCTTGAATACCATGACCTATGACTAACACACTCATATGTGCTTCTGTTTCAGGGGCTTCATTACGTCAGGAGGTGTCTCTGTGGCAAACCTACTGTCCTTGAAGATTTATCGCTAGCAATTGGGTGAAGCCACCAAGACATATAGGTCTATAGAGAGGCTATGTACTGGACCTTTTTACATGGACATTTCCCTAGGTCTTCCTGGATAAACGTGCAATGAATGAAAATTCTGGAAATTTCTCCACTCCCTTTGGGAATATGCCCATGTCATGTGATGATGGGCAATATCTGCACCAGCAACATTTGGTTGCTAATACTGATTCACAAGGAAACTCAACAAACTTTGCATATCAAGGCTTAAATCCATCTCCAGTATCATTCGCACAGGTACCTTTACAGGCACCAGTAGCGACAGTGACTCCAACATATTATTCTGGCTCCCAGCAGTATGTGATTGCCCCATCAAGCTCTACAGGAGCACCTACTGCTTTCTCCAATTATGCTCCCATGCCAACAACCATCAATCCTGCCACAACTGTGAGCTATTCATCATTTGAATCAGGAGCAAATACCAACTACTATGTTGGTGGGCAGCAAGAGCTGTTCACTGAGATGAGGGATTCTGATCAAAATATCCCTCCACTCCTGCCAGAATTTGATTCAAGAGAGGTTCAAGCAATGGACAGCCAATCTGACATGGGTGTTCTCAACTTCAACCCCTCAGCTGCAGCTGCAGAAAATCCAGTGACTGCTGCTGCACCACCTCTCATTGCCACTTCCTCCAGTGTTGAGCTTGTTGAGCTTTCCTCTTCCCAAGGTTCATCATTTTCTGGATCCCCTGAGGTTGTTTACATGGGGAAGTCTGAGGAGCTAAAGAACATAGAACCTAGAGAAGCTGACAGTTCCAGAGCTTCTGTGGAAGTAAGAGTCTCAGATTCCAGTAGCCAAGGCACCCAATTAGAATTACCTGATGCTGGGAAGAAGAGTGAAAAGGGTCTTGGAGTTAAATGCTCAGTAGAAGAAAAAATGGAGAATCAATTAATGATGGTAAATAGGGACCAACTCCCTGGACAGATGGAAAGGAGCAGTGAGGGGACAATGAAGAGTGATGTGGACAATGTTGGTTCTGGTTTTTTGAAGCAAAAGGACAAGTCTACTGACATCTCTCAAGATAGCCCGCAGTCAAATGGAGAAATGAGTGGTGTATCCAAGAAAAGTGATTCAGGTCTTGGGAAGAAGAAGAGGAAGAAGGAGAAGGAAGAGAAGGAGGAGAAGGAGGAAAAAAACCAGGAAATTAATTCCCAAACTACTGGTACAATCACTGATGACTGCAAAGAAGGAGAGGAGGGGTTATGTATGCGGGATGGGTGCAAGAATCCAGCCGTTAGACATCCTGAATGGGAAGATGAGTACTGCAGTAGTGCCTGTGTTGTTGCACATTGCAAGGCCATCTTTCAGGAGTGGGTGAAGGAGCGAAAGACTGACATCAACCCCTCCTAGGCCATCATAAACCTGACAGTTTCAACTCCAATGTCCAATGGGCATTTCATGTTTGTGTTGATCTCTGTTGGATTCTTTTTGGAAAAGATGCCAACCCGGTATATACCAAGATTTGGTGCCCTGCATGCTGCCCACATGCATGGAAAATTATGCCGAGTTTGATATTTGAATAAAGTCACATTATGACTGTGTAACTTTTGTGAACATTACCTGTTTCCTCTGTTGCATTCCTTAGCATTCAGGTGAATGATTTGCTCACATTGGAGGTGGAAATGCTCAAATCATTCAGTGTCTTTCAAACATAGACCATTCATTGTGGCATTGGTTTACCTGGGAATTGCCCATGTTACAGTGTGGCAAGGGATCATGCTCAGCCATGAAAGCCCTCCTCCAAACTGATATTTTCATTGAATTCTATGCTGCTAAGCTTGCCTTTTCCTTTATTAAGATTGATATACAAAGAGACAGTGGTGTCACCTCTCACAATGTGAGTGTATAAGCCAAGAGACCTAATGAGTATGATTTAAACACAAATTTAAGGCTGATGTACTATCCCTACTGCTTGTGAACCATTCTACTCAAGTTTGACAATTAAGGCAATAGCCTTCCTGCCACTAAAAATGGGGTATATATTCAGGGGATGAAAAGTTTAGAGTGACAGAAAGCAGGGGGTCCTCTGCTTTTGTTTCAGTTAAGCAGAGGCATCTCTCAAGGTGATCCTCCTAGGAGGGGAAGATAATCCTGAGATTATCCAATAAATCATCATCATACTGATACCAAAGATATAATACTATTCATACTTTGTCCAGCTCTTCCTACAAGCTTTCTGTTTTTGCATTCTGGCATACCCTGTCTTGTGTAGGACAGTGGATCCTGCCAGAAGAACTGAACTGAATTATTCACTTACAATAGAAAAAAATAACCATGGCCATGGCAAGAGTAGAAAACTGGCCTTTGAAGATTGAAATTGGGCATTTGTTGCCCTATCCAGTTCTTTATAGACTATTTCAGCCATTTTATTTCCTTTTAGGGAAATTTGAGATTTTGATTTTCTCATTACATTTAGTGGTTTTGGTTAGTGCTGTAGATTTCACTTATTAGCAACCTCTCAGTTTCCAGCAAAAGGTTAACATCCTAAAGTTGTCAATAATTGAAAGGCCATTTTCAAGTATATGTATGCTACAGTCAGTGTTGCAGGCAAGAGACACAAAATTGCCACTAAAAGTCTCAAATGATGACTGCAATATTGAAATCTATTGTACATGTGACTTGGTATTCTTTTTTCCACACTTTTGTCACATTTATATGATTGAGATTTCTAATTGAAACTTTTTTGTTTTGCAACCCAGAAGTTGTCAATAAGAGACATACCAGCTGTTAGTGGCATTCTGTTGGTGTTGAAAGTCAATTGGGTGGGATCAGTTCCCAGGGAAATAATTGAGTAATAATTACTGGAAAATAATAATTGTTAATAGCCTGAAGTTTTATTCATTAGGATTACTAATAAGCAGAATCTACTGTATTCAAAAGTTCTAAATTGCCATTTTTGCATGGAGACATAGACAAAATGTGTCAAGCAGATCCAGGCAGGCAGGAATAAATGACTTCTCATGATATGATACTGACAGAGGATACCCTTCCAGAATGGCTCAACTTTTGGGTGAGAATTTCCATTTGCCATACCCATTTTTTTCTTAGTTCTTTTAAATTTGTTGGTCAAGGGCTACCATTTTGTACTCAGAAGGAAATTGCGCAATGTACCATTGGTCTTGCAAACTAGGTTACTATTGTAACAAGAGTGACTCATTTAGGGAGCAGATTTTATGCACTAATAAGTCCTGAAATATGCACATAAATATGTGATTAAAAATGCCAAAATATTCATGAGATATGCACGAATAAGGGAAAATATGTGAAAACATGTTTTTTTTAATGCAATATGAATTTTCCGGAAGAAGGTACTTTAATGTGCATTACATGCCTCAACTGGTTATAGTTGTTCTGTTCTTGTCACAGCCAGCGGTGAAGCAAGGAATTTGCCAATGGAAATGAACGGGCACTAGAATTTCCTAAACTTCTCGGGAGGGTTGAAGGTGATGGATGAATCTAGAGCAGAGTTCAGGGGCCTCACCTCCCCTCCTCACTACGCTGCTGGTCGGACTTCATAATTGCATGAGAATTTTCCTTGGTAGCTCATAAAGAAAGCACATTTTCCTGGAAAACCCTTATTTTTCCCATAAAAATGGGTGAAATATGCATAAATTTGCACAGATATACAGAAATATGCAAAAGCTGCAAAAAACGAAAAAATATGCATTTTTATGCATTTTTAAAATGGCATTAATGGCTGCATCTATCAATGAGATATGATCCTATCTGGGTTGCATGTTCATAGGAGGCTGCAGGAAAAATATGCATTTGCCATAAAAATCTGCTCCCTACTCATTGCACACCTAAATGACAATGATTGACAAATACATATTTTTTTAAAGGAAGCAAGTAATACTGCTTATGAAGTGTTTAAGACCCTTTTGAGGAAGGCATGAGAATTTATGAAATGGAACCTGGTTATGACATTTGGATTCCTGATTGGCAGACTCCATTCGAGACTTTGCAATTTCACACTATCAAGAGGATTTAATGTCCATCCTGCAATCCACCAATGTTGAGGGTCATTACAGTATAACAGTGAGGTGAGTGAAGAAGTAAGCTTGGAAGTTCCTTGAATATTGTAGATCATCATGGTAAAGTCATGCTCTGGGCTGGACAAGGTTCTCCGAGATGATGAATCACGATGTGTATGTGAGTGAGGCAGTGATGAATGATCCTATCATCATGCTGGAGGAGTTGAGGAAGGGGTTCTCAGCTGCCTGTCGTAGGCTGTTCCTTGCTGCCCAAGAATCCCAACAACTAGACCTCACTGTGAAGGCCAACATTCACATTCGACTCTCTGGTACAGCTCATAGGCCATCTCAATTCTTCTTTGGACTAAGTACTGATATGCTTGATACCTACAGTAATGGGAGGTAACTAAATGGTCAGCTTGAAGAAAATGTTTTAGGTTCTCACATTCTTTTTATCCTTTCTTAATCATCTAGAGAGGCTGCTGCTTGGTGGCTAAATGCAAAAATGAAGGTAAAAAATGACCTCATGAGAATGAGAAGGTATTATTTTATCATCTGCTGCATTTTGTACTGTTGGTATATTTTTACAGCAGCACAGAAATGTCATCAACGAATTACCCCACTTCATACAATTTCTAGTGTTAGGGATATTTCAAGATTTTATTTTGAAAGAAAAGAGAGTAATAATTGAAATATGTGCCCAGGGATTTATGATTTATTAGCACATTCATTGCAAAGGCCATTTAATGTATTTTCTTCAAATAACTGAAAGTCCTGTAGAGAGATGCCAGTTGTCAGGATAAACCTTACTCTACTTCACAGACCAGATGCACTGCCATCTATTAGAATATACATGAACCCTCTGACCAAACCTGGTGTATTGATCAGATTGACACTGGTAGTATAGGTAGAGAGGGCACTTTTTGATATGATTAATGCTAGCACTGAAAAGGTTAATCTGATGGCATAATTGTTTTTATACATTTCTCATTCTCTAACTAAAGCAATTTTTATCATGGAAGTGTATCTGATCAAGAAATACCTGTCTGCCAGGTATGGATTTCATCAGTGAAAAGATTATGATGATCCTGCAGCTTTCATGTTGTTTTTTTCTTATTTTTGTATGAAAACAGTAACTTTGCTGACCTTTGGAATGCAGGATTCAGAATGAACAACTGCTAGCCATAATTGTCTCAATCCTTTGTGCATCTTGCTCTAGTGACCTCTCTACCACCATAAACTATATTCTTTCTGACCTACTGGTACTCTTGCATCCAGGTTGTGTATTTCAATTTGGTGTTTAGTCCTGATTACTTCACCTTATTTTAACCAATCTGTGTGGTGTATGCATACTATACCATACTGGTATGGTATAATATGCATAAAAAAGGGTGCTGGTTTATTTAAAAAGATATCTCCATCTCATGTCTTGCAAGCTTTGTATGCACATGACATCTCAGATGAATAAGAAAGACTAAGATACATTTTAAAAGAAATTTGTATCCATTGCCTCAAATGCAATAACTTTTCCAAGTTTAAGTCTTCAAAATCACATGGAACATATGTGGGGCTTCTTGCCAGACAGCAGCATAGTATTGATGGGGCAAGAGGGGGCATGTGCCCCAACTCAAAAAAACAAAAAACTTCCTTCATTGTTACTTTGTAGGTTTGGCTTTCCTCCAAGTGTTCATAATGAAGAGAAGTGACAGTGAACATGGAATCATCATTGTGCTGTCCAGAGCTGACTGGATGCCATATGCCATCTTCAAGAAATTCAAAACATTCAATAAACAGTTTGTTTACCATAAAATCAAGAGGTACAGGAGCATTTGACTATCAAAGACCAGCCAAGGCTTGAATGAACATGCAGTGATTGGATAAAGAAACTGATTAAAATTTTCAAGAAAGTTGCACCACAAAATTGATTTTAAAAAAAATTTGATTTATGCAGATCCCAAAAAAACTTGTGGTTCACTACCAAACCTCATGATCTTCTATTTACAGAAAAATCTTGGAGTTCAATGCTATAAGCCTCAAAAGGTCCAGAAACTCAGAGATGTTGACAAGCAAAAGAGCAAAGCAAGGAGCAAGCAGCTACTGCAAAGATCCCATGATTCTGATCTTTGACCATGATATTTTCTGATAAGAGAATCTTTCAGCTTCGAAACTTGTAATCAAATCAGAATGACTGAAGTGATGCAGTTTTTGATCAGGTATACCTGAAGATATGTGCATGAAAGGAAACTTGAATTTCCCCAGTCTGTGATGGTCTGAGCAGGAATATCCAAGACGGGATGCACAAACCTTGTGTTTGTGGAACCAGGAAGCAAATTTAACTGACAATTAACATTGAAAAAATATCAAAGGGATTTTGGAGGAAGAAGTGGTACATGCAGGTTAGTATCTCTCTGGTGACCAGCCCTGAGTGTTTCAAAGGGACTTAGCTCTGAGTCACATGGTTCAAAGCAAATAAACCTGACTAGCAAACTACCTGACTGGCTTGATGTACCAGAAATAATCAGAGATGATTGGCTCCCTTTTCAGTCCTGGCTGTAATTTGATGGACTATAGCCTATGGAGTGTGCTGGAGGCAAGTGTCCAGAAACAAAATCCAGCATTCCTGAATCAATGCAGGAGAATGCTGAAAAAGGATTGGAATAAAATCCTGCAACAGGTCATGTCTAGTGCAATTGACCAGTGGTTTTGAAGGGTGCAGCATATCATCAAGATGAAGAGGGACACATTGAAATATTCAGTGAATAGTTACAGTGTATCCTCGTGTATAATTGAGGTTCAGTTAATTCTATGGGAAAAAGTTAATGGAACACAAGAACTTTGACTTGGTATGGATATTTGCTGTTCTAATGTCAAATGACTATATTTTCTGTTGCTCCTGTAAGTCGCATGTGAAATATGAAAGAGAAATGAAATTTAAGTAATCTTTAATATATCATATACAGTACATTTCATAATGTTATAATGATCATTTTGACAACTGTAAATCTGTCTCTGGGCGACTCTGGACCTATACAAAAATCTCTATATATAAAACAAGCCTGCCTGGCTGAGGATGCCAAGGCATGTGGCTAATTTGGCCCTATTCAAACCAGAAAAGTTCAGTTTTTCATGCTTTATGTATTTTGTATTGGTGGCATTTTTGAAAATTCTTACAAGGACTCTATTAATTATTTAATGGATTGATGAAATCAAGAAGTTTGATCCTGATAAATATAGCACCATTTCTCTGTTTTGTTTTGGAATTTTGTCATTTAGATCTGCCAGTGTGCCCAGAAGTACATCGGGTGAATCTGCCTGGGGCAAGTGATGTTGGGCGCCTCCTGTGTATCACAGGAACTGTCATCCGGACTACTGGTGTCAAAATGCTTGAGTACCAACGGGAATTCATCTGCTCCAAGTGTAAACATATATTTGGGGTCAAGGTAGGTTGAAACTTTCAAGTCACAGCATTTTTAAATATTCTTGTAACTCCTTACATCTTCCTTTTGCAACCCTCCCATTTACAACCTCTTGGGACTAAAAGAGGAAAAGTGTCTAGGTGCCCAACATCAAGAGTGGACATTATACATGGTGGCCAAAAAAACCTGGACCCCTGTCTTTCAGGATTTTTTAATTGTTATTTTTAAAGGTTGAATTATTGGATGAAAACGTCCATCTATTTATGGCTTTAAATTAAGATTTTGCTACATTTGGACAAAATGTTATGAAGTTAAATTCTTCTGAAAGGCACTCTGAATTTTCACTGCTCAGAACTGAATTGCCCAAAAAGCAAAGCTTTATTGTGGCAAAAAAAAAAAATTTGACATCTATTTTTTTCAACACTTCCCAATCTGTTCCTCCAATGATCAACTGCAGGATTTACTGATTGCTGGGAGCTTGCGATCACTGCTGCCTGAATGATCAATCTTTTGCAAAAGGAAATTGACACTGGAGATGCTCCAATTTTTTTCAGGGAACTCTTTCACAATTTTCCTTGCCCCCCTGTGTTTTCCTTTCTTGAGTACTTCAATGGCTGCTCTGTCTTTCTTTGAAATAAGCATCTGGAAACAATTTACAGGGGCAATAATTAAGAGAACTAATCCAGTGCAGCAAATCTGGGGGAAATGAATAAAATGTGATGAAACTGTGTGCATGTGTATTAACAATGCATTTCTCACAAATTTCTCGATTTTCACACTTTCAGTGCCTCTTGAATGTAACCTTGTTCTATAGGGTGACAAAAAAGTCCTTGGAAATCACTGAATCTTGCTGTTAACATAAGCAATCTGGCTCAAATTTTCACCAGAGATGCAGGCCCTCGGGGTATATAGCACTGCAAAGTTTCACTGAATTTGCTTTTCACCACACCATGGCAGCCCACCATGAAGCCTCATTTCACTATTCCAGCTGGCCATGTCACAAAGGCAATTTCCAAAACACTTCATGCTTCACTTTCCTCTATGTACTATGCGATGAAAAGGTACAAGGAGCTTGGAACCGCTGAAGACCGTCCAAGAATTGGCCAACCGTCGACTGTCGATGCTGCTGCCGTGCACTGTCGCCCCTGTCAACTTCTGAAGCGCAGTCCGCAGTGGTTGCTATGCACACAGGCCAAAGCTCTTTGTGTTAGTCTAGAGTCTGTCCGACTCATTGCAAAAAAGTAACATAAGTTGAAGCCCTACATGCTCCTTGATGTTCACTTTTTAAAAGACCAACTGCTTGGCCCTCCAGCAGCCCAGACTTGAACCCCATGAATTTCACCATTTGGGGGATGTTAGAGGTGAAGGCCTGCTCTAAGCCCCATAGGACAATTCCTGGCTTAAAGAAAGCTTTGGTCGTGGCATGGGATGAAATTCCCCCCTAACACCTCCGAAACAGCCAAAAGCTTCCACAAACAGCTCAAGGCAGTAGTGGCAGCTAAATGCCACATTGAAAACAACTAGCATCATTTATTCATTACATGGGCCTCTATCCATATTTTCATTTTGCTTGCTAAAAATTTGGGTGGTAGATGGCAATAAAAGTTGTTCCCAGGACTTCACCTGTAATTTTCCTGTCACCCTGTAATTTTCCTAGTTTTTGTTTTTTTTAAGTGATACTTAGAGTAGATGATGCCACAGGGCCAAAATAAAGGATTGATGCTCAACTGCCATGATGTATTGACAACAGTACATGTTTAGCTCCAACCCGTTGTGCTTTCTATGATAAAGTGGATGCAATTGGAACCAGTATGAGCAAAAGGATTAACTCAATTATTGCATTTTTCATTTATATACTTGAGAGTTGCTTTGGATAGAGACATAGCGGCATTTAGAGGCTGCTTGTTGCATGCAAATGTTGTGCTTGCATTTATTTTTTTATTGCGAAGAAAATCAACTAGTATGACAATCATTTTAATGCCCTATGTTGTGTATATCTAAATGAACATGCATTAAAAATATTATGTAATTTCTCAGAAGATAATATGAAACACATCAGCTTCATAGGTGGTGAGGCACATATGATAATGCTTTCACATTGTTATATATCATATTTGGCTACCTTTCTCCTTTGGCCTGCAGCATGTGCAATTGGAAATAAAATTAAAATCAGTCAAAAGCAAAAAAATTGCAAAAGTCAAAATTTATCCTAAGGAGGCCAGTAGTAATCAGTAGGGTGAATCTCAAATTTCAGAAAAAAGAGAAATAAAATAAATTACTGAAACTGTCTAATGGGTAAACATTCCTATCAAGTGGCAATCCTTGCCATGTGTGCCGGGACATCATTTTGTAAAACTACAAGGTGAAGCAAAGAAGCTATGCAACTTGGAAAAAAAAGCACAGTTCAGCCAGAAATGATATCACCTGCTTCAATTTTGTGAATTTTATAAGGTGCAGTCAATTGCAAAATTGAATCACACATGAATTTTTTTCCCTGTGGCTAATGGCCAAAACATCCCTTACAAAACGTCCACCTTCTATCCATCTGGTTGTTCAACCAGGTGGATAGGTGGATGTCCCCCCCCTGTGGAAAATCCACCTCTCCATTCGTGCACATGTATTTCAAGCCAGGTGGATTTTCCCTCCTGGGTGGAATTTTCCCTGTGTGAACATCACTCCAATGTAATTTAATTAGTTGAAACTATAACCATGGTTGCACTCAGCAGCAGAAAATCTCTCAAATGAGAGTTCAAGAGGTGTAAAGCAGAATTGCTGAAGTTCTCTTGTTCAGGCAAACCGTTTTAACGCCCACAAAGTTGATAAGATTTACTGCAACAGAGGGGAGTGAGGAACTTTAAATTTGTGTATCAATTTACTCCATATTTGCTTTCTGTGCAGCCAATGGCAGGTGACACTACTTTTTTTTACCCTCTTGGTGGCAAAGAGCCTCTTGGATTAGGCTGTTGTTAAAGGGAGAATTAAAACAGGGTCGATTAACTTCAAGTTTCAAGAGCACAACTCTTGAGTTCATGAATGCTCTGAGATTTAACAACAAAAAAACCAGGAGCCATGAAAATCATGCTGCATGAGAGCTTTTAAGGCAGACTTTCAGATTATTACATTACAGGAAATAAAGGAGACTATTTAAAAATGGCTCCAAGACACAACTACCCCCCAAAATGACATGTTGCTGCATTTGCATTGCTGTGTTTCACTGGAAATAACAGCTCTCTGTGAGGATTGCCTCACGTTTAGTTGTGAACTGGTACTTTCAATATGAAAAAATTGAGTCCTATATGGTAACTTTTTAATGCTGAGGACATGGGAAAAGCTGAAAGGAAGGAGAATAGGAGTCTTGAGTCATGAAGAAAGTCATGCAAAGGCAAGAGGGTGACTAAGTTGAGGTTAATCATGGAAATGTATAGTTTTACAAAGGGGTGAACTGCCTGTTCATACTAGGGCTGGCCTACATTTTGATTTGTATGCATTCTGCATTCATTTGTTTCATGTCAAGGCTGACTACGAAAAGTATTACACCATGAGTCGGCCAATGATGTGCCTAAATCCTGATGGCTGCAGTGGAACCAATTTCACCAGACTAGGGAGCATTGACCCAGTTTTCTGCAAGGATTATCAGGAGATCAAAATCCAGGTCTGTGATTCCATTTGACTATCCTCTGACTTTCACACCTAACCCTTTCACTGTTATCCTTGAGAAATTCATGGGCTAACCTTTGCCTAAGATGAAACTTGTATCTCAAAACTCACCAGTGAAAGGGTTAAAGGTCTGAAGTTATTAAAATATTTCCTTTTGCACTCCAGTTAACTCTTCTTTATCTGGAATTCAAGAGACTGGACTATGTTCAAATTAACAACAGAGACAACTCACTTCTTCCTTTTCCAGAAGAGTGAGTACTTCTCACTCAGTATATTGCTGTATCCCTTCATTTATTTAATTTTTGAAAATAAATATGGGAGTTAGTTCTTTTAGCATGTCTTCCTGAAAAAAATCCAGAATTTTTCTCTTGCTTGCCTCTTAAAAAATTCCTGGAATGCTCTCTTTAATGGTGCCATGATGCTGTATCACTTCTCTGACTCCCCAACACCAAGAAACCACTTCTTTTGAAAAGGTGTTGGAGGCTGATTTAATTTTTCTTCCGGTTGTCATGTCCATTTGAGCTCCTGGTAGACAAACTTTTCCAGCCAACAGTACAAAGGGCAAACATGAATATGTTTGAGTGGTGAAGTGAAAGCAACTGCAGAATGGGAGATATAATCAGTGGTGAAGTGAGCACAGGCACCTACTGCTGCACTATCAGCACTTTGAACATGGGGAAATAAAAGCAGTCCTGCTTTTGTGATTTTAGATCTCTTTAACCTTTTGACTGCTGCAATTTATATCAAAGAAGTTTATTATTCTTTGTAACAGTTGCACCAAAAATTTTTATGTACAAAAGAAGCCATTCCAAGAACTAGTCCAGTTCTTCACCTCATCCTTCACTTACCTGATAAGGTAAGGGAAGGAACTATTGTTTGTTAGCTAGTATCACTAACCATGGTGCACCAGATATACAATTTTAGCAGGAGCATGTATAAATAAAAAAATTAGCAGGTTAAAAGGATTTTTAAAAATCCTTTTGATAAAAGGATAAAAGAGTTTTAAAGAGTGCAGCACCTGCTCTATGCCAGTTTTTTTTTTTTGCTGCTTCAATCCCTTGAGAACATTGTAACTTTTTTGGGTCATAAATGGATTTCTTTTTACTCCAATAAATTATGACATAGTGTCTGAATAATATTTGAGCAAGTGTAAGCATTGACAGACATACTTCTGGCCAGATTGAAAATGAGTTTACTTGGACCTGGCAGTCAAAGGGTTAAACATAAAACTTTGTATATTTTCCATTTATCCCATAGTAGTGACTGTAGTCAACTGAACACATGGCACCTTCTGCTAGATCAGGCATTTGTTGTCAAGTTGTTGATGCACATACAGGATTTTTTGTTTTTTTTTCTGCCACTGTCATTCCTGAGAAGGAAGATATAGAAGGACAGGAAGACCAAGGTTTTTCCCTGGATTAAGTAGGAATGGTTACATGAAACACTTAACCACTTTTTTTTTATTCATAGAATATGCCTCTATGCTGAAAAAATGCTGTAGGATTGCGTATTATCACTGCCTGTGTGCTCAAGATATCAAGTTTCACTTCTCACATGAGATCATGATGGACTCCTCTTCATGGTGCAGAATTTCAAGAGGAATGGCATGAGGCAAAGTCCTCCAGGGGTTTTTCATGGAAGGCTTGAATGGAGGGATGTGACTGTTTACACTTTTTGGATGACAGTTTTTGGGTGCAGCAAGCAGTAGCAAATGAAGGTTTTTCACCTATTACAAAAATTCTACAAATTCATCACAGTAATTAGAAATATTTCATTCTGCGAATTAAAGCTACCCCTACAAGATGATACCACATTTATAGCAATAAAGACAATAGAAAATTGGGACATCTATGCATTCTGTTGTTTGATAGGGAAAAAAGGGTAGAAGCCAGCTATGCCATCCTGTTGTCCAGAAAGTGAAAACTTTGTGCAACATCTCTCCCTGTTGAGTCATGAGAGCAAGGAGGGAATGAGGAAAAGCGCCTTCCAGTTCTCTCTTATCCCCCCCATCCAGATAGAAAGAATGACAAAGCTTAACTCATTGCAGTATGAATTTTGGTAGTGTGCCAGTGGTTAAATCTGCAAAAATTAGCATTTTTTGCAAAGAAAGTTTTGACGTTAATGAATTTGCTTCATAAACAATCAGTAAACTATTGAGAATTGACTACAAGTATCAAATGGGAAATGCATTAAGAAAATATAGAACAAAAACTAGAGCTGTACCAATGGCCACTTTGGCTGGTGGGCCTATGGCCAATTTTCATCACAAAACCATTGGCCAATGCCCATTATTGACTGAAAATTGAGAAGAAACATGAAATCGCATACTAATTCCAATAGACCTATATGTAAGCCATGTGATACTTTTCAGGAGGCTCCCTAAAAACAATAAAGACCATATTTAGTACTGTCTGTCTGTGTCTGTCAGATGTTACCTTGTTACCTATTGTTGCTTTTAAGAATGTTTAATGACAAATACCTTGCAAAAGCATAGCATAAAAGGTGTTGTAATGATTACCAGTTTTTAACCACTATTTCCCTCTGCCTGTTCCTAGCCCTCTTAGTGCCACGCACTTAATTCATAGGCTAAAAACTATGATATAGATCCCCTGGCACTAAAAGGGCTAGAATAGAGCTGAAATGCAATCCAATCTATATTTTTGGGTTCATCCATTTGCTCTAATTATTTTTTTATAAGTTTTGCCTCTCCTTTCAACATTGGCATTGGTAGTTTGCAAACCTACCAGCAGCCAATGCAGATAGTACTGGTGGCCAATATATTGGTAGAGCCTTAACAAAAACTCATGTTCTGACACATTGTCAGGTGATGAGTATACCCATCTTTGTACTTCAATGGGTAAAAAAATGATGGAGGCCATCAAATTTGTCAGAACTAATAGGTATACTAGACTTTCTGGAGCATCTGTATTAAGAGGAGCTTAACTCTGTGTAAACCTTTTTATCACTATTGGTGGTCACAATGAGGGCAAAACAGAGAGACAGGAGTGTTTTAGGGTCTTGAACATTCAAAGGAAATTTCTTAATTAATAATGTACTCATTAAATTGTGTGATTACTCTGTAAAGATGACAGGTTTTCTTTATTAAAAAAAATAATAATTCTGGAATGTGACAGGAACGGGCAAGTCACCTGGGACTGGGAAGGATCCCACAATCCATGTGGGTGACTCTGGAAGATGACCTGGTGGATTCTTGTAAACCAGGTGATGATGTCGTCATCATGTAAGTTTCACTTGCTTGTGTCCTGATGATAATGTTCTGTCCAACTGTCTGCAGGGATTGTACTAGAGTTAGGTCAAATTGCACATGGCTTCCCTGAAAGGTGCCCACAGCCCAGATAGGCAGGCAATTGTGGAACTGGAAGTTGGAGCATTAAGAGCACCCTTTGTGCCATAGAATCCTATGGGTTTGTTAGGTCTCATAATAACAATTGGTGAAAATATCAGTTACACTGGTGTCAAATCCATGTTGATATGGTTGTGACTGAAGGATACCAGTGATATCCAGTAAAATGTGAAATCCAAATGTCTTTGGTGTCAGTTGGTGAGAATCGTATAATTTTTGATGTGACAATAGGGTGCATGTGCTTTTTTTTTAATTTTCAGAAGAGCAAGAACTTCCTTTTCTTTTCAGACTTATGATTGATAATCCAATAATTTTAATCTTGCATCAGGACCAGATTTTCTCTGCTTTCTCAATTCCCCTCCCAGACTTTAAGCTTTCCTTTCTTACCCATAAATCCATCCATGGAATTCAAGCTGCCTGTGAATGTTAACATTATCAACTGTTTGGGTAAAAGAACCAAACAACTGCCCTTTGTTGACTGCTGACATTACCTGCAGATATAGGAGAAGCATAGCTACTGAACCACTTAGCATTACAATGATATTTCTGGAATGATGAAGGAGTTGTACAGGGTGGTGCAAAAGTCATGTACCATAGGGTAATTTACAGTAAATTTTTGAATCATTTGCCATTAACTTGAAAATACTTTGATTCATTGTACACATAATGTTTGAACATATCTTAACTCCCCCCTCTCATCTCTTGTTAATTTTGCTGCCATCAGTTACTTGCAAAGGAAGTAACAAGAATTAATGTAGTGCAACAATGAAATCCTCTATGGTGTGCAACTTTTGCACCACCCTGTATTGAAGCGATGACTGCATTTTGAATGCACCTCATACCATCAGATAGAATAGAGTGGCATAAAGTATTGTACTGATCATACTGGAAATGTATGCTTGTCTACCTACAGGCAAGATACAGGCTGAGTCCATTTATGATGAACTTCTTGTCAGAAGCAGACTTATTTGGAATTTTTACATTTGTGCATATACAAAGATGGATCAAAAAGCAACAGCCTATAATTTATTTTCTCACATATCTTTCTGTCCACGACAAAATGCTTTGAGGGTAGGTGTTGTCATTGATGCTAACATGCATTGATCTTTATTATTTGCCACAAGAGGGCAGGTGCATGACAGAATAGAAAATGTGGCACCACTACACCAAAATTGAACTGTAATCTGTGATTCATTTCCTGTGGTCCAAGGGTTTGAATGTTGCCAAAATTTACAGAAAAATAAAGGTACAGTATGGGGCATGTGTATGAACGAACAGTAGGTGCATGAATGGGTACAAATGTTCTATGAAAGCAGAACCATTGACAGGGAGAAACAGGGCTGACCCAAGACCTCAACAACTCCTGCTGACAACATTGCTATTGTGGAGGCTGCCATCTTAAACAACTGATGTACAGTAGATGCTGCTTGCTGTGATCACTGGTTATTGTTATCAGCCAGATAATGTGATCAGATCTCAAAAATGAAAACCAATGAGCAATGGCATTGGTTATTGTCACCTATTATCAACCACTTAATGTTATCAAATTTCCTTGCACCAATGTGATCAAAATAAGTGGCATCTAGTGTATATCGATTACACAGATAATGACCATGAGGTGCTTTCATTCTTCTGTAAATTTCAGCAGCATACAAACCCATGGACCACAGAAAACAAATCAATATTGCTGTTCAATTTTGGTGCATGTCTCCAGTGATGCTGATATTTTCTAATCTATTGTGTGCCTATCCTCTCATGGCAAATGATAAAATTAATGCATGCAAGCATTTTGTCATGGATAAAAAGACACATGAGAAAATAAATCATTGGCTGTTACATTTTTGATCCACCCTTGTATTATACTCTGTCCTTAAAACTTATTTACTGACATCATTTAACGCCTGAAAGAATCTGTTAGCTCAGATTACCTGTCAATTGAATTGACAGAAAGCTAATATTTTGTGGCCTTAAAGAAGAAGTGAAGGAGTCAAAATAAAGGGAAAGGAAGAAGTAGTCAGATTTGAAGAAAGATTTTAAACTGTCCTGTTGATTAAAATGTTGCTGTGATGAAGGTTACTGTATTGGTGACAGTGGTGCAGAAATAAATGAAGTGATTCATTGGAAATTCTAGGCTTGCCATGTGATGAAGCCTTATTGCCAAGTGGGCCAAATATACAAAAACTTCTGAATTGAGGGAGGTGAGGGGAGGACAATAATAAATTCTGTAACTACCAGAACCTAGATGGTTATTTGTTAAACTCTTTGTTTCAACTCTTCATTCTCAAAGAATCTCTTTAAAATACTTTGCCTAATTACTATTAAATCTTCATGAAAATACAGAGTATCAAACTTTACAAAGGTTGCAATGCAGCCTACACAATTGGCTAAATTTTTATATCAGGGTCCATTGATCCCAGAATGGTAGTTACAGGGTTTAAGGGACTACAAAAATTACCTTTGCATAGCTCCCATTCATTATCATTTGCACTGCTACTCATGTGATGGGTACCATTATTGTTTGAGCCTTTGTCAGTCTACCACCTGAAAGGGTTTTTGATATAAGTATATCCTTGCATGGCTGAGAACCAAGAGGAAATCGATGTCAAACAACCATTTCCTGCTTCTACTCCTAACCATGACTACCCTTCAACCCCAACCTCCCTCATTTCCTGCATTCCAACATCGCCACTTCCAAGCTTTATTTCTATTCACATTGAAACAAGCTAAACCTGACTGAAAAATTTATTGTACTGGTGGTGATATTGCTGTTTGAGAATGTGATATTGCATTTTGTTCTGTGAGATGATAAAATAAAGTTTACATTTATCTACAAATGGCTTCATGCATCTTTAACATTGTGCATTTTAATTTTAAGAGTGTATTTATGAGAGTGAGGAAATTTTTATTAAGGAGGTATTGAACCATGTTGTAGAAAGCTCAAACTTATTTGTAAATTGTTGTAATGAATGAAGGCCCAGTACTGAACTGAGCTTAAGTAGCTTGTTTTAATTAAGTTTGCTTTGGGTGGTCAACCCCATTGGCCTCTGTCAGTGCAGATGGGCCTAAGCAATGTTTTGCTGTGTGTGGATTAGAGGGGTGATACGGAGACGTTGGAAGCAGATGAATCGAGACATGAGACCAGATATCAACCTAGTAATCCAAGCCAATCACATCCATGTCAACAATAAACAGAGGCCTATCATCTCTATTGATGGACATTTTGTGAGCTTCTGATCCCTTTTCTCACCTTCCTGATTGATATAATTTTTCCTCTTGTGCATGGTGGTGTCTAAGGAATGATGTGCCTGCATATAGACGGAGGAAGTGGAAGAGTTTTGGAGAACATATGAGCATGCTCCATTAGATGGGAGGAATTTCATCCTTGCCAACCTTTGTCCTCAGGTCTGTCTCTTCCAGAAAACTCATGTAACCTTTTTCAGGGCACAACACAGAGGACCAGGGTCCATGTGGTCAAAATTTGTCATGAAGTGAAAAAATAAGTCATGTTTTCACTCTTATTCTTTTTGAGTTAGGGTAAAGGCACCAGTTTGTGGACAGGTTAAGAAAATGTTCCCCTTGAAAATTGTGTTACGGTCATTGGGGTAACCAAGAAATCGCATGATTGGTTTCAATGGGAGGCCACTTATCATAGTTTGATGCTCATACCCTAAAATGAAATATTAAAAATATACTTTTCCAGCAATCACTGTTTAAATGGATATGTGTTGATTTCCATGTGGTTCCTATTTGTGGACGGCCTGGTTCCAGTTTGAGGACATCCATGGACATAGTTTGTTGACACCAGTTTTTGTCAACAACTATGAACGTGTGTAGGCTGAATAGAAAAATATGGGCATGAGACATGTACACCAATTATATATATCTTCAATGATGTCCTGTTAAGAAATATCAGGAAAAATTAATGAATTCAAGGGTGCAAGTTCTAAAACTGAGCAAAACTGTCCAAGTTCACTCATGCTGATGGGTATGCATAATTTATATGGTGGCTGACAGGTAAGTGCAACACACACACACATATATATATATATATATATATATATATGTATATACGAGGTGTGGCTATTAAGTTTCCAGACTTTATTTTTGTATTTTTTACTTTTAAACTTACAAATTAATCACATTTATCGCCTTCAAAGTACTCCCCTCCAGAACGTATACACTTATCCCAACGATGCTGCAATTGCTGGAAACAGCGGTGGAAGGCTTCTTTCGGGATGTCTTTCAGAGCCTGCATCACATTTGTTTGAATGTCTTCAATGCTTTGAAATCGATGGCCTTTCAAAAAATTTTTGAGTTTGGGAAACAGCCAAAAGTCACTGGGGGCTAAATCGGGCGAATACGGCGGGTGATCCATTTCAGTGATCCGTTTGG